CAAATTTGCTGGCAAATTGAGTGCAGCACTTTAACAGCATCATCTTTTAAGACTTTGAGTAGCTCAGTTGGGATACTATCACATCCGCTAGCTTTGTTGTTAGTAATGCTTTCTAAGGCCCATTTGACTTTGCACTCCAAGATGTCTGGCTCGAGGTCAGTGATCACACCATCGTGGTTGTCGAGGTCATTGAGGTCCTTCTTGTATAGTTCTTCTGTATATTCTTGCCATGTCTTCCTAATCTCTTCTGTTTGTGTTAGGTTCCTCCTGTTTTTGTCCTTTATCATGGCCAGCTTTGCATGGAACGTTCCCTTGATTTCTCCAGTTTTCTTGAAGAGATCTCTAGTCCTTCCCATTCTATAGTTTTCCTCTATTACTTTGCATTGTTCATTCAGGAAGGCCTCCTTATCTCTCCTTGCTGTTCTCTGGAAATCTGCATTCAGTTGGGTAAATCTTTCCTTTTCACCTTTGCCTTTCACTTTCCTTCTTTCCTCAGCTATTTGTAAAGCCTCATCAGACAGCCACTTTGCTTTCTTGCATTAGTACTAATGATAACTTCCAAGTGACATCACAAAGATAAAACCATAAAAACATTCCAAATGAACTTTGGATTAGTTTGATAAAAGATCAATGTGACAAATTGGGGCATGCTTTGTATTCCCTAAAGAAAGAATATAAGATGCAATCCTGTCCTAAAAGGGACTACATCCTATTGAATTCAGTAGACCCTAGTCCTGAGTGAATATAGAATTTAGGACTGCAATGCACTGCAATATGAGAGAAATGCTCACAACATTTTAAGAAACTATTTTAAGAAATCAACTACCAGTCTCATTTAAAAGTCCTGCTGTTGAGATCCCTGAAGAAAACAAAGCCTGCAGTTCTATATACTTAACTATGAGTAAGCCCAGTTGAATAAAGCTGGGCATGCTTCTGAGCAGGGCTCTTTTTGTAGAAAAAGCCCAGCAAGAACTCATTAGCATAATAGGCCACACCCAACAGCAGAAACTCATTAGCATATTAGGGCACACCCCTGACAGCACAGCTCATTAGCACATTAGGCCACACCCCCATGTTACCAGAAGTGTGGTTATCCAGCCACACCCATTTTTTCTTCTTATTCTGTTTACCTTGTTTGTTGTCAAAACCCAGGGCTTTTTTGTAGCAGGAACTCCTTTGCATATTAGGCCACACATCCCTAATGTAGCCAATCCTAATAAGTTTCTGCTGTTGGGTGTGGCCTATTATGCTAATGAGTTCCTGCTGGGTGTGGCCAACTTGGGAGCCAGCCAGAACTCCGTTCCTGTGCGTTCCTGCCCAAAAATAGCCCTGCTTCTGAGTAAATATGGCACTGGATTTCACAGTAAGCAATAGCGGGGTTGCCAAGTCTGGTTTGGGAAAATTCCTGGGAACAGTGTTTGGGGAAAGGGGAGCTGATGGAGAGGAGATACCTCAGTGAGATATAATGTCATAGAATTCACCCCCCAAAGCTGTCATTTTTTCCAGGGGGATTGATCTCTGTAGACTGAAGATCCAGGCCCCTACTTGGAGGTTAGCAACCGTAAGTAGTAGTATTGAATCCCCCCCCCCCCATGTTTGAATTCCAGTAGACTGGTGAGGGGTTTTTTAGGACAACACTTCTGTGAAGTATTTCGGACCCCACCATAAAGTTTATTTTATTTTTAAAGTCCCCAGGGAATTGTGTATTATCAGAGGAAAGAATACCTTAATATCTGCAGGTGGAAGAAAATGACTGACAAATATTCTGAATTGAACAAATATTTTTACAAGCTGCTGGCAAATTATGAACGAATGCCTGATCTCTGAAAATAGTTTATCCCTCTGCCATCAGAAACTCAACACTGATTTTACATTCTTCGGACTGCGACTATTACATCAATCCTAGGTTGTATGCTTTTCCCCCTGCGCGGCAGCGCAAGCGGGAGCTGTATACGCTAAAGGGGCCCGGACCCGCCCCCTTACAGGCTGCCCGCCTGTGGATTCCAGGATGTGAAGTTCTAGAATGCAGAGTGCGTAGGGAGCGAACTTGCATGCCTCATGTCCCCAGGGCACTTAAAAGCTCCACGCCACCCCTTAAGGGAAAGAAGGGAGGAGCGGTAGCAACTAGAGAGCCAACTTTGCAAGCGTGAGGAAGTGCAGGGTACATGTTTTAGCCCAGACACAGCAACCCGTCTGTCTTCCGCTCCCTGGCCGAGTACACCACTGGGAAGCAACTAACTCTCTTGTAACGTTCTTTCTCTCACACACACAACGAAGCGTGTGAGAGCTTCTACAGCAGTCCACAATATCCCTCCGCGGTCGTAGCGCGCGTGTACAGGTCTCGCAACTCTCTGGGAATCAGCGAACGAGCGGGGAAGGCCGGGAACTATTTTCACAAAACAAGCTTCCATGGCGGGAATTCAGGCTTTGGGGGAAAGTTAGGGGAGATAAGCCTCCGCCCTTCTGTTGCGTGTTGCCGGACGTGAGAATCCTGGGACCTGCCAATAAAAGTAAAGGTCTCCTTAAAGGTCTCCTTAACTCGTTGCATTCCCGCAAGGCAATACAGGAGAATTCAGAGTTCCTCTAACTTGGCTCCTTGAACGGCCAGAGAATCGCCCCCAACAGCACGGCGAGAAAGTGTGCGGGGGGGGGGGGTAGTCTTCTTTTTACTATAACTGCTGTTGCCGTAACTGAAGGTGCTTTGCGGTGCAAATGTAGGGGAATTCCCGAGAGGGGGGGACGACGACAGAGAGCCACTCAGCCCCCCCTGCGCTACTTCACATGTAAGCATGCTTGAGTTCAGTAAGGAAAGAAATGTGCCAGGAACGAGGCTGCCGTGTTCCTCCGAGGTTCTTACTTGAAGTGAAGCGGCTTAAGAGTGCGGCTGTATGCGAGAGGGGAAAGGAGGTTGCCCCCACACATGAGAGTTCTGCAGAGAAACTTGAGGGTCTGGGACAAGGAGTCCAAATTGCTAAACTGGCCTAGCTGCCCGGGCCTCCTTTCCTTCCCCTCGGAGAGTTAGCGGCGGAAGGAGCTTGAAGTCAACACTTCCGCCCAATTTTCCTGCACTGGGGAGTGGAGGGAAAGGCGCTGGGGGATGTGGCTGCGCCTGGCGAGGATGGGGTGCCGCTACTGAAGTGCTCGCCCTCTCTGGAGAAGGGGGGGGGTCGGTCTTCTGCCCACTTGTCCTCTTGTCTTGTTTTTCCTCCGCCACCAGCCGTGACGCATCCACCCTCCCCCTTCTAACCTCCGGGCTGCTTGTTAGCTCCCCCTCCCTCTCTCCCTCCCTCCCTCTCCTTTTCACCTTCCCTCCTCCCTCTTCCTCTCCGCCGCCTGCGGCTGAATTAGTTTCCCCTCCTCTCTCCGTGCGGCTCCTGCTTGCTTCTGGGGGCGGGCGAGGGTTGTTTTTTTTTCTTTGCGCGGGCCCCCTTTTTTCTGATTTCGTGGACGCTGCTGGTGTCTGGAGGAATTTCTGTTGCTGTTCTTTTCCTTCCTGCCCCGGAGCGTGGAAAGGGGGAGAACTTGCTGAAGGGAGGAGGAGGAGGACGGGGGGGAAGGGAGAGGAGAGGAGGCGAAGGCCACGGTGAGCTGTTGCTGCTGCAGCGGGAGATGTGGGGCTCTTGGTGCAGCTGCAGCACAAGGACACTACCGCGGACCTGGGCTGCAGCTGAGAGGCTCTCCTAGTCGCCAGCAGTCAAGGCGAAGACCGGAGGTGGTGTGATTGTTACCGGCGCCGCCAAGGAGGAATCAGTTCAACTCTTGGATCAACAAGATCTCTTCGAACCGGAGGGGGGGGGGAGAGGATAACTGGCTCTTTCGGGGCACCCCGAGGACCGAGGCCGTTCTGGCGGAAGGGTGTGGAGTGGGGGCAGATCTGGGGTTTAACAATGGTGAGGTTTCTGGTGAGCTCCTGCTGCGCCCTAGCTGCGTCGGTGCTGCTCCATCTCGGATCACGGTGAGGAAAAAATGAGCGAAGAGACGGCGAATTCTAACAACGAGTAAGTTCGCTTTCCCTCTCGGGTTCGTGGGGCTCGGCAGACTTCCGTCCCTTTGCCTTTGGTCACCCCCCTCCCCCGGTTAATTGCCCTGCTTTTGGTTTCTCGGATCTTTCGCTGGCCTGTATTTGTATTTAGTAGTTTGTTTCTATATAGGTAGACATGCAGATGGCATTCTCTTTCATGAATATCAGTTTGGGGGTGGTGGTGAATGGGCACTGCAGGTCCAAGGTATGGGGGGGGGAGAGCTGTTCAGCAGTATATTGAGGAAATAATAATAATAAATGAGGAGTTCAGTTCCCCCGACGTGTCATGTCCTCTGTTCCCTTAATATGCTACATTCTGAAAAAGTCATAAAGTCTTTTCATTTGTGTGTTTCATATAAAAACAGCGCGGGGATCTTCATCCTGTCGGACACTGTTCCTGAATTTTAATTGGATGAGTCAGTCAGTGTAAATACAGCGTTAAACCGTCCCCCAAAGAATTTTTTAATAATCTGTTAAGAGTTCTTCTAAAGTGGTGGAGGGAATGAAGAGATTTTAATATTTTTAATATGCTTCGCTTGGATGAAATCCATAGGGGGTCCTGCATTTTTACATCTACAGTTTTAAAAATAACTGTGAAAATGGAGTTCTCCTGGATCTCAGATATGTGGTACTTTTAAATTGTGCTAGTCTTGTCCTGAAATCTACAATTCCTTCTTAAGAATAAAAAATGTCGATTCCAGTGACTCTTGCATCCTGCCCGATCAGAGGTTATTCTTTTCTGCAGAATGAGTTGCAAATTAGTCAGTCGCTCGGACATAGTTTGCAGTAGTTTTGACATACTAAGAAAGCAGTCTTAAGGTGGAATTAACATACAACCATTATTTTTAAGCGTTTCTAGTGAATTAACTTGTATTGTAAAGAGCAAATCTGGTTTGGGTGGGGAAAGGGACACTTGTCACTTGTATATATTCCTTCAAATAAAACCTTAATTCCTTAATATGGATCTGTAAAAAATCAGGCTTCATTTAAAAGAAAATCGTCCTTCCTAAGCTAGGATCACATAATGTAACAGGGACAGATCTGAAAGGCAGTATATAAAGTACAAAGCATTACACTGAGGTTGTTGGTAGGGGAACTGCTGCAGTACTCATGGAACTGAGAAAGAAACAGCCGCCATATTTTCTTTTTTGTGAATCGCTCTAATTTGCATACCACAGTCTTCATTCATAAAAAAAATAATTAAACCTTCGCTATCTTTGACATTCGGGCGGATCTGCTTTGCGAGGAAAGGGAGTTTTGCACAATGGACTAGAATGCAGAAGGTTCAAGAGCTAGGTTTTTCTGGAATATTGTACCGAAAAACGCTGTTCCCAGCTTGTTGACACTGTTATGTAGGAAATATCGGCTGGGGAAGTGCTGGGAGCACGTGATCTACTCCATTCATAAAATACCTGGCTGGCCATTCACAGTGCAATACACTGTGTCTACATGGAGCAACTTTCAGATTAGACTGGTTCTTCGAAAAAAGACACAGACTTGTGCCAGGGTATGTGAAGAAACACCATCTTGCTTGCCATGTATGAACAGTAGTGCTTTTTGAATGAAAATTGAGAAGCATTATTTAAATATAACATTTTTCAGTTGCTAGCATCAGAGGCCAGTATTTATAAAACACATCTTAGTAAACCAATAAAAAGGGTTATAGGAATGGATTACCCTACAGTTTGAAAGGGTATAGACATTTTGTGCTGTTGTGGAATTTTGCAGCCTTTTCCTTGTAGTCATTGTTTTTTGTCTCTTGTAGTCAAGAAAATGTTATGAATTAGATGTTGTATTTTTGAAGGAAAGGGACCAATCTTTAAAACCTATACTTTCATTTTGTATTGTTGGATCAGTCAGTATGAAAATATTCTATCAATTACTTGCAAAAGCAGACTAAATTTGCTTGCTGGAATAGTGTGCTTTGTTAGTGTTTGAATGTCTATGTTGTTGGGCCTCCTGCTTACAAATATTGCGGGGATAATTAATAATGCTTTATGGACAAAGATGAGCTAGGCATTAATGGACTTTCCACAAATTTGTCAAATGTCAGTAACCTAAAAAAAGGATAATATCTGGTGACAATATGATAGGTGTTCCTGTTTATTCAAATTATTCTTTTGATTTTTTCATACTTTATGCTATTCACTGGTCCTTTTTCATGAAAAAACCCATTAGAATACCTTTCTACATTCTTATAGCAGTTTCCATTCCCTCTCCAAATGTGTTATCAGTCTGTTTGATCACATTCTGAAGTTTTTATCTTCTTGATAATCAAGAAATATTCTACATTCTGTGTGGAATTACTTAGATATTTTTAATGAAGTGAATGTAGTACAGATATACAATTACTACTAGTACCATCTGTGATTAAAATGTAGCCTTTTGCTGAAATGTGGCCATCAGTCATCCTAATTATGAATAGTTTGTGCATTATTTTACTCTTCACATCTCTTTGCATTCTTTGCTGGGTATGATTTGTGACCAAAATCTAGATCTTGGCAGCTGAAGTTATTGACTAGACACAGTCTAAATGGGAGACATGTATTACTTTTTTTGCATGTTGTAATCATGCAAAAGGCAACTTGCATGGTTAGCTTTCAATAATTTTTTTTACATTTTCCTCTTTGGAAAGGTGTAGGCCAGTAGATTTAAAAAAAATGTGTTTATGCAGCTCAATTTTTGCTGTTTGTAAAACAATTTTCTTCAACAGCAAACACTAGACTGTGTAATCTTTTAGTCTATCAGAAAAAGGTCTTATAGCTTTTTTAATGTATTAACACATCATTAGCAGACATTCGCAATTTTCTCTGATGTACTCCTGGCATGTTTCTCCTGCCTCCTGTTTAATATCCCCAGCTTTGGACTGTTGTACCCTTTTTCAATTGTTTGATTGGGAGGGTCAAAGTACTGTGGCAGTTTTATTTATTTAGGTGGATGGTTTGATAATTAATGAGAAGCTATTATAATGTGTATCTGCATGAGGATGCAGATTGGTTTTGGATTTTATTGCTTCTAAGCTTAATTTACACCATTTTGTAAGGCTCCTTTCTTGAAAAGTAAATATTTTAGGTTCTAGTTTAATTGAAGTAATGGCAGTTCTTGAGATTCTCAGTGTCTTGTTGAGCTCTAAAGAACCCTTCTATGTGCAGATCCAAATGAGTTTAATAAACCATCTTCAGGCTCTGGGACTACCTGCAACTTAGGTTTTTGTGCAGGATTTTTTTTCTGGCTCTCTTGTGACTTGTGCTGTTTCCATGGCACATAAGATTCCACCTAAAGATAGAGCTGCTTTAAATAAAAATTAAAGCACTTATATTTCCATCTATGCTAAATAAAATATGAGCCCAGACATTCTTAAAAATATGTTATTAGTAGGGAGAAAGTGAAATCTTTTGTCATTTCCCCCGCACTAAACCTGTTCAGACACTTATCAGATTCTAATAAGTGAGAGAATGGGTGGGGTCTCATCTCCTTACTGTGAATAGTGAACCAAGATACCTTGCCCTCATTTTGAATGCAGGATTGCTCCCTAGGGCTGCATTATGGAACCTGCTAGAAGGCAGGATCTGTTACCCAGAGGCAGAGAGAGATGGTGTTGTCTGTCTGTCCTAAGAGGAATGTGGGAGCCTGAGGCCCACTCTCAGTCTAGTGGTGGGATGCCTTCGGACATATTGGTGTTTGTTGCCAGGGCTACTTTTTGGGTCTTGCTCTGCTGTTTGGATTGAGATAAATTTAGCATTGCAGAATGAACAGCTAATTCTGAATTTGTTGACTGCCCAATATTTCTTCTTGAGTATATGTTCCAGCTAATTCTTGTAACAAAAAATGAAACTGTTACTTAGTGTGCATTTGCTGAAAAATCCAGGCTATGGTGCTATAAATACTCATTGCTGATGATGCTGTATTGGAATTAATGTGTGTGTGTATAATAGCTTTCTTAAGTCTGTACCTATATTCAAAACAAATATCTTCATTTATCCTCTGTTTAAGATGATTTCCATTAATAAACCCTACTGTGTAGAATAATTGATCCTCATTTGATATGTGTGCATCCTTTAATGCCATGTATGTAAATTGCATGTGATATGTACAGTCAGGTGGAAGCATACTGGTGCTTCATTTGCATCAATAAAAAAGGTAAAAGCATTTGCCAAGATACAGGGCGTTTTAAAAATTGAAACTGTCAATTCATGAAAAGGTAAAAGCATTTGCCAAGATACAGGGCATTTTAAAAATTGAAACTGTTTTACTTTCATGAATTGGAGTTCTCTTTTTTGTTTGTGGAAAGTCGGGTAGTTAAAGGGAATACATAGTACAGTCCTATGGACAGTTATGTTTAAGCCCATTGAAATGATTGAGCTCGTGCAGAATTTTCTTCTGCTGAAACCTACTGATTTCCATGACCTTTAGAGTAACTCTGCATAGGATTTGCACTGTAAAACACATAGAATTGCTACCACTTTACTGTGACTAATGCAGGGTGATAAGCACTAGTGTATTGAGAGAGCTTTGCCCAGTTAATTACAAATGTAGAACTGCAAACAGAGGGAGAACTCATTAGGAGAGGACAAGAAGGGAAATAGTATCTAAAGAACGACATAAAAAGTAAAGACTAGAAAACAACAAAAAATAAGCTTTGAGGTGGCTGGTAAGGGCAAGTGAAGATTTCTATGAGGTAAAATCACTTAATTTATTGAAAAAGAATACAGGAGGTCAGTTGCTATGCCTCAAAGAATGTGATATCAATATGCTATAAATGTTGTCCGCAATTCTCAAAAATTAATGAAATTTACATGCAGGGTTAAGTCTGCACAGGGTTTTTCTGTTTGTGGGTGTTGAGAGCATGTGTGAATTTTCAGTTTTTGGCAAATTGAAGCCCTGAATAAAATAAACCCATCCAATGTTCTGTGTTTGTGCATGTCATTGTACAACTTATATAATGTGGTGGGGAATGCATGAGGTTTTCAGCACTGG